CGAGAGAGCTTCCTGGAAAAGCGTTAATCCCAAGCAGTTCCACTCCATAATTATTTAAGAGAACAGTCAGAAAAGTGAAAAGTATGTCTGACAATGAGACAACTTCATGTTCACTGAGAAAAAAGTACTTTAGGTAATATATAACAAAGGAATTAAACAGTTAAGATGTGATGTCTATTTACTATGAACAATAACATTTTAAAAACTATAGATAAAACCAGAGGTAGCAAAGTTTTAGGCTATTATAGGTAAGCACTCAGTTATTATACTTTGATAGAGGCCCTCAAAACAGAATGAAAACTACACCCTAATATATTCTACTGCTACTTTCTATAGTTCTGCTTGCCAAGATCTGAAATGGCCCCCAGAGCAGACCCTGGAGTTTGCAGGATGGCAGCAGGTTACAGAGAGAAGGCCTGGACACAGTCCTCTCTATTGCATAACCAATAACGTCAACAATATGTGGTTTCTCAGCTCCCAGCCTCTCTAGTGCCTGGGGACTAACAATAGCAGGCACTGATGCTTTGAAGGGCCATCCCGCTATCTTCTCAAAGTGACCCACACACACATTAGGCAGGGTGAGACAACAAAGTCTGCAGGATATATTTTGATTGCTCTGATTCCCATGACTTCAGATCAATGAAGTATTCCTTTATACCATTAAAAATTAATATTTTTATCCTGTCTATGTGTCTGAAGCAACCACTCACTGACATGTGAAACTAAAGCAAATGCACAGAGTCTCGAACGACTCCAGGTAATGCCATCTTTCTCAGTGTTGGCTAATAACACTCTGTGGTTATGGTACAAAATAAGTAATGTATGGTGTACTGCTCTGAAGAAGTATTTTTCTGTTTCTTTTTTTAACTTTTAAGTTCAGGGGTATGAGTGCAGGTTTGTTACACAGGTAAACCTGTTTCATGGGGGTTTGTTGTACAGGTTATTTCATTATCCAGGTATTAAAGCTAGTACCAATTAGTTATTTTTCCTGATCTTCTCCTTCCTCCCATCCTTCACCCTCCAAAAGGCCACAGTGTGTGCTGTTCTCCTCTACGTGTCTATGTGTTCACATCATTTAGCTCCCACTTGTAAGTGAGAACATGCGGTATGCGGTTTTTGATTCCTGTGTTAGTTTGCTAAGGGTAATAGCCTCCAGCTCTATCCATGTCCCTACAGAGGACATGATCTTGTTCTTTTTTTTTTTTTTTTTAGATGGAGTTTCGCTGTTGTTGTGCAGGCTGGAGTGCAATGGTGCAATCTCGGCTCACTGCAACCTCTACCTTCTGGCTTCAGATCTTGTTCTTTTTCATGGCTGCAAGGTATTCCGTGATGTATATTGCTTTTGTGGGGGGAGTTCTTCTTCCTCTTTTCTTTTTAAAACAAATATTTGCTCTAAAATAACACTCGCCTTACAAAATACAAGTACTCAGTTACTAAAAATTAATGCTTTGGGATAACAAAAGAATTTCTTCTTGTCTTCATCACACATAGCTATAATAACGATCTGTTTTTTGTAGACTAGGATTGTTGTCCCAAAGCATTAATTTTTAATAACTGGGTAGCTGTGTTTTGTAAGGCAAGTGTTATTTTAGAGCAAATATTTGTGTCTTTTTTTTTTAAAGAACACCCCCCCCCACCAACAAAAAACCCCAAATAGTACATTGTATGAGGGAATAAAATGGCTGCTTAAGAACCATCTTCCAGTATCTGCAAAGGGTGTGAAGGTGAGGGCCAAGGGATTCTTCTTGGTTTTTGGAGCCAGGTCCATCCTTGCTGTGAAAGCAGAGGAGCAGGAAGTGCCATGATACTCAGAGCATTTGAAAGGAAAGGAAAAAGTGTAAAGGAAGGAATTAATACCAGCCTTATGGCTTAAGACATCTAATAACACACAGCACTGCTGAATCCAGAATTTTAGTAACACTGAAAATTGTTTTTCACATCACAAGTTTTAACTCCAAGTTGTTGGGATGATGCTTTCTCTAAGTTCAACCCAGCACCTTTGTCTAAATAAGAGTAGTACGGCTGTCTGCCAAACTGTGAAGCTTGAGAATAAGAGGAAGTACAGAGAAGCATAATGGCAGGAACTGCTTCTATTACACTTGCAAGTTCCTTGGAACCACAGGGATCAGTAATCTGGCTGCTACCTTGACAACCGGAAGAGAAAAGGTAATGATAGAGGGTTCTGGGTATGTGGTCACATGAGGGCAAGCACAGAGGAGGTGATGGCGAAGGCCTAGCTGGGAGAGGCAGTGTACACTTAACACCAGGAATCCTCACCAATGACTGCCAGTAAGATGTCATAACTGTACCTTTACCTAGTTAGAATTTTTCTCTTTGAAACATTGTTTCTGGCTTCTAAAACAATCTATGTATATGTAAAAATAGTGAAAAGCTCCAGGAAAGTACAGAAAAAATTAATAATTACTCATAAACTATCCCCAAAGATAATCATCAACATTTTGATGTGCTTTTTTTTTTTTTTAAACACACTTTAAAATCAACATTGTATTCCATGGTATAAAATATTTTATAATATGATGTTTTTTCACTTGGTAATAGTTACATTAAATAATCCGGACATAATAAAAGCTTACTGAAGCCCTTCTTCCATGCCCAAGACCACTTTTTTTTTTGTCTTTTGTTTTTCTTTAAAAACTAGCCTATTTTTCATTTTTTATTTTTATTTTTTGATTTTTAATTTTTATTTGTTTTAGGGCAGTTCTCCAAAAGAGAAGAGAAAAGGTAATGGGAGAAGGGACTAGGTATGTGGTCACATAGTGGCAGCCCCGAGGAGGTGACGGGGAAGGCTTAGTCCACTCCTCCAAGTCCACTTGTATGTTCAAAGGATGGAAAGATCACTTCTGGTTTTTGATAATCTCAGAGACTTCTTGAACATGTGGTCACACGAGTGAGACCTTTAAGAGTGCTGGAATTTTTGAGATGTACACATGAAGGAGGCATATATTTTAGGTTAACAAAAAAGAACCAATACATTTGTGAAGGTGGAGAGACCTAAGGGAACACATAAACTTGTCAACACACAGGGAGTACTGGGAAGTAACAAAGGGTTTGATTGTCGTGCTGAGGGCTGTGAAGAGAGAGAGGAATAACAAGAAGCAGGAAGTAAAGAAGAAGGACGAGGGCCTTTGGAGTTGGTAACTGGGTCATCAGTGGTAACTATGGAGGAAGGGTAACTTTCCAATTCTGTTGGTGGGGGCAAAAGCAAGGAAAGAGAGGTTTGCAAAGACTTCTTATACCAAGAAATTAGGCTATGAAAAGAACAGAGCAGTAGTACTGACTGGGGTTATCAGAGTCAGTAGCAAGTTTTTTTTCCAAGACAGCAAACCAGGAACTCTTGGAGCTAGACACATCTCCTCTGAGACAGGAGAAAATAAGACAAGTATTGAAGTACAGAGAAAGAAAGATGAAGGTACTCATTCTCAATGATTTTTTTCTTGAGACAGGGTCTCACTCTGTCATTCAGGCTGGAGTGCAGTGGCATGATCTCGGCTTACTGCAGCTTCCATCCCTCCTGGGCTCAAGCAATTCTCCCATCTTAGCCTCCAGAGTAACTGGGGCTATAGGCTTCTACCACCACACCTGGCTAATTTTGTTTATTTTTTTTGTAGAGACGAGGTCTTGCTATATCAAATAAGTTGGTCTCAAATTCCTGGACTCGAGTGATCCTCCCACCTCAGCCTCCCAAAGTTCTGGGATTACAGGTGTGAGCCACTGCAGCCAGCTTCAATGATCTTAATTTTCTTAATAAAGAGGAGAGATCATCTGCTGACAGAGGAGAGAGGTGGTAGGGACTTGGAGGGAAATCAATAAGGGGAATGGACTTGGACCACAGAGAGCACTGGGGTCCAGTTCAGTCTAGAGAGCATGACTTTGCAGTTGGGCAGGTCAGTGGAGTCATACAATCTTCCCCAGAACACTTTGAGTCCTAAGGGCACCATCTCTATGGTGGAGGCATTAAGGGATGGGTCCTGGTTGAAGGTCATGCAGGAGTAGGTATGTCTGTGAGAACAATAGTCAGTAGTTGACCTTTGTAAATGGGTTGGCCAGGTAATGGGAAAAGAATTGCAAGGACTTAACAGATTGGGTGGGGTGGGATGGGAGATGAAATGCTTCAAAATAATGAAGTATGGGTACCTTAGAGGTGTTATTTCAGGAGGAAGATGGGGAGGGAATGGTGATCTAAATCACATCAATGTATTTCAATACATATGTGTAAGGTACTATGCAATCTAGAAAAAACATTTGGAGAACAAATCAATTGGTTGAAATAAGCACAGAGAGCCTGATTTTGATAATTTGTTCTTCTAATTTCTGAATCAAACAATTTAAAAACATACACTGGAAAATGCATCAGCCTTGGAAATAATCTGATGGATGAGACTTCAGTGAGAATGGAGATTGGGGGCTGTAAATCAGGAAGATTTGTCTGGCAGCTACCTGGCAGTCAATTCACTGCACACGGAAAGTAATGGCTCAGGTTAATGAAGCAACTTTGTGATAAAGGTCACAAACTATGTAGTGGGTGGGGCATGCCAGCCACAGAAAAAGGGCGTCTCCCACAGAGAGTGCACAAAGTGTGTAGAGAATATCAAAACACAGGGAAACCATTTACATCAGGAAGGAGTTTACCTTTCTGTCCCAACCTCCTATAAAACTAAAACATTGTACGGTACATGTCAAAACTAGTAGCTATAGATTCTCAAAACCATAAACAAAGCTTTGAATTTTTAATTATGTAACATATTGGAATGTTAACAAGCAAGAAAATATGCTACTTTTTCTTTTTAAGCTGTAGAATTAATCACTTATATACTGCAACTTAATGATGTATGATGATTTGAAAGATGCAAGGCCTCAGAGGTAAAAGCTGTTACCAAGCCTCTTACAGTAAAATCTAGGTATGATCAATATTTTACACTAGGAGTTAAAGGGGAAGGAGCAATTACAAAATTAATAAAAGGAGAAAAATAATACTATACCTCTGGATTCATTATCCCTTCTTTTTTAAAACAGCTGTAAAACATGTCCATGGAAAATACTTCACTCCAAAGATATCCATAATATTGGCCATCGTATCCCCCTGCCAAATGTCCAAAAGTAGCTGGCATATTTGTGCCTTTAAAAAAAGATACATTTCACTCAATGTGATTGCAAACGTTAATGATCAGGTTAACAGCTAGCTAAGGTTTCCCTTTGGGGAGCCCAGCTGTGGGAGGAGAGAATGAATGATATCATCTCACCTCTAGTACTCCTTGGGCTTATGTGTCCTCTTGGCCAAGATGTTTATAAACATCTCTCAATGGCTCAGCCTCAGAGCTGGTTTCGGCTCCAAGCTCTGGAATGCCTAACGATAGTTTCAGCGGCTTTGTCCACACCCATCAGATAGCTCAGTGTTTTAGAACTGAAATCAGTCCTTTCTTATCCCTTAAACATGTATGTCTTGAAAAATAATATTAACTCTACTCTTTGCCACACCTCTTTATATCTAAAATGTCTCAGAGTTGCACTTATTTTAGGTTGATAATTACTGAAAAAGAACTTTTTTTTTTTGAGACAGTCTCACTCTGTCGCCCAAGCTGGAGTACAGTGGTGAGATCTTGGCTCAATCAACCTCAGCATCCCAGGTTTAAGGGATTCTCCTGCCTCAGCCTCCTGAGTAGCTGGGGTTACAGGTACATGCCACCACGCTGGCTAATTTTTGTATTTTTAGTGGAGATAGGGTTTCACCACTTTGGTCAGGCTGGTCTCGAAATTCTGACCTCAAGTGATCTGCCCACCCTGGCCTCCCAAAGTGTTGGGATTACAGGCTTGAGCCACCGTGCCTAGCCTGAAAAAGAACTCTTCACCAATTCGATCTACCTGTAGGGCTACTTTATATAGGATTTTGACAAAAATCCTGAACTCAAGTGATCTTCCCGCCTCGGCCTCCCGAAGTGCTGGGATTACAGGCGTGAGCCACCATGCCAGGCCTAAAAATGCCCCTTCTTGATAGCATAACAGGATGACTAACAGTCAATAATAATTTAATTGTACATTTAAAAACATACTTGCTACACAAAGGCTTGTGACACAAAGGTGCGCTATGGCTTACTATGTGGGGAGCCTAGAATGACTCAACTGACCATTCTTATCTTTATTTTCTCTGTAAATGTGACAGACTCATTTTAATAACAATTTCCTTAGTGAAAAAAAATCCACCTTACCAACTACACATAAAAGCACAACTATATATTGGCTTAGAACATATACATACAAATATAAACACGCCCATGCATGAGTCCCATAAATCTCAGGTTACAAACTGCTAGTCAAATGCTTTAACTGACCTCAGTACCAGAAACAAGGTGAAGTTCATACTTCTCCTGCAAAATACCCTTTATTTTTTTTGAGACAGGGTCTCACTGTGTCACCCAGGCTGGAGTGCAGTGGTGCGATCATGGCTCGCTGCAGGCTTAACCTCCCCAGGCTCAGGTGATCCTCTCAACTCGGCCTCCCGGGTAGCTAGGACTATAGGCATACACCACCACACCTGGCTAATTTTTGTATTTTTTGTAGAGACGGGTTTTGCCTTTATTGCCTAGGCCGGTCTCGAACTCCTGAGCTCAAGTGATCTTCCCGCCTCGGCCTCCCGAAGTGCTGGGATTACAGGCGTGAGCCACCATGCCAGGCCTAAAAATGTCCCTTCTTGATAGCGTAACAGGATGACTACAGTCAATAATTTAATTGTACATTTACAAATAACTAAAAGAGTTTAAGTGGATTGTATGTAACACAAAGGATAAATGCTTGAGGGGATGGAAAAAATAAACAAAATACTATATGCAAAGAAAAAAAAATTAAAAAACTTCCCCTTCTGCCAATTTCTTCCTGAAAATCACAGGGAAGTCATGATGCATACAGGGAAGGAGGAGCTGACAGTGTGCTGCCAACATGAACGGCTCTCCCAGCTCTGGGGCGGAGGCCAACTGCTCACGCCTGATTACACTAAAATGCTGCAGATCTGGAGCCACCTTTCCTTCAAGCGCATTTGGACGGGATAACTCATAAGGACATAGTATGCTTATCTGAAAGTCATGGCCTGATTACAGAAATCAGAAACAATTAGGTAATCTGTCTGACAAACTCCATCTCCCCTGCCGTGTGAGGAGAATGCCCTGTGCTTCACAGGGAAATGAACTCAATTCGTAGTAGTTACATACCTGGAGTAGCTGCAACTCCTAATATTTCTGAGCAGTATTTGGCGTATTCACTTGCAGCATCCAGTGATGTGTTGGTATGAAGAGACTGATCAACTTTGCTCAAAACAATCTGGCGCAGGGTCAGAAGACCTAATAACATAAGAATGTTTGGGCATGTTTTGGAGAAGACAGAACTGTGTGTTCTATTATCACAAGACTGTAGATTCCAAAAACAGATTCCAGTAGTACTCACAAAATGGGAGCAGGACATCTCATTCTACTTAAGATTTAAAAGGAGATGTAGTTTTTTGCCTTAGACAAAATTCCAGGGTTTCCAACTCCAATATATTTAATGTTCGTCACTCCCTATACTAGCAGTTGGGATACCATTTAAAATGAAACTAAGTTCTACAGAAGGAGGTGACAGCAATTCTGCATTAAGAGATTCTAATTCATTTTCCTTTTTAAAATTATAAGTCATACCTGTGTTGACCAGTCTAGAAGCAACAAGTTTTTCAAGCAGATCATCTGAAATAGGGCTTCCGTCTTTATAATGTTTTGACAATCTTCGGAGGGAATCGATGTCCCACACCCAATTTTCAAGCATTTGCGATGGCACCTCTACAAAGTCAGTTTCTACATTTGTTCCGCTAAATCGTGCAAAATCAGTCTAGAAAGCAAACAGAGAATTTTTTTAAAGAACTGAATGAAAAGTACATATGCAATGAATAATTATTAAGAGTCATGAAAACTTAAGGCAGAATTAGACTCAACTGTCCCTTTGAATGAGGGGTTAGAATAACCTCACAGTCAAGTGAAAATAAAATACAGCAGCTGAGCAGTGTGAAAAATAACCCCCAAATACTCTATATTACAGTAATAATTTTATTCCTTTGAACTGTAGACAAAGTTGGAACAATCATCAGAAAATCATAACTGAAAAATACTATCAGTCTAAGCTAAAAACAAGCCTTAAGCTTTGAAAGCAAAAATATTTTTAAAGAATTTTCCATTAAAAATGAAGAGATCCATTAAACAAGCAATTTCTCCCTAGCTCCTCCTTTCAATTGCTTACTTTTGTTTATTCAATCCATGCCTTTCTGGGCACTCATCACTCTGTTGCTTAACTACTTAGGTTTTAACCAAAATTAATTAAACAGTTCAATCACAGCACTATAGACTTTGAGTGTGCGATGCTTTGCATTTTAAACTTTAAACGAGTGGTTCTAAGATTACCATGTTGTAGAAACTCAGATTTCTACCTCTCAGATCAGGTAGACAATGTTACCTTAAAATAAGAAGCTGCTTTAGTAGGAGTTAGGTTTGTAAATTAATTGGCAAGTGGAGTGAGTTATATGCTATAGGAAAAGAGAAACAACGGATGTATTCAAAAGTTAGAGCACTCCTGGTAAAAATAAAGGACTTATTCTGAAGGCCTGAGCTAAGAGTTAAAAAAACAAGAGGTTTACAAAGAGTTTAATGAAACCAAGTTTAGTAAATTCTTGAGTCAGACGTCAGAAAAGCTCTCAAGCAGAAGAACGGAGATTCACTAAAACAGGCTAGTGTTTTTAACCTTCACACAGTCCTTCAAACACTCGTAAAACTGCCATTGGCAGAGAAGACTTAGCATTTATCCTACTGGGTCATCTGCAGAATGGGGCTCCTCATTCTGTTGTCTTTCCCTGAACCTCTGTCCTGTTTTTCTCCTCTGAAGCATTACATTCCAACCTTCTCTCCCTGACTTCATCATCCCTGGGGCTCCAAACAGAGGGGAAAGGGAAGAGGCATGTAACCACCAGAGAACGCAGCAGATGGGGTGCCGAATCAGCAGCAAATACCCACTCTGCTTTTTGGCCCAGGGCAGAGGCACAGATGTCAACGCCATCTCACATTCTGCCTTCCTCTCTTTATGCAAAAAAATGTTTTGCTTGATTTCTCATTATAATTGTGCCAATTCTAGATATGAAGAGATGCAAATATTAAAGGGGCAAGGATAAGAAAATTCACTGGTTGTGGAATTAGGCCACCTCTGTTGAGGATATCCCAATAAAAAACTTCTTGTAGGGAAAGAGGTAAGGGTCCCCAGAAATTGAATATTTTGTCTCATTATGGTATATGATATTCTAAGATTACATCCTATATCATAAATAAAACAATCTTATACAATAATAATAGCTAACATCTGTTGAGACTTTCCTATGTCAGGCATTACAGGCATACCTTAGAGATACTGTGGATTTAGTTCCAGACCACTGCAATGAAGTGAATATCACAATAAAGTGAGTCACACAAACTTTTTGATTTCCCATTGCAGATAAAAGTCTATAAATGTACATTATACTCTAGTCTATTAACTGTTCAAAAGAATTGTCTAAAAAACAGTGTACATGGCTGGCTGCAGTGACTCATGCCTGTAATCCCAGCACTCTGAGAGGCCGAGGTGGGTGGATCATCTGAGGTCAGGAGTTCAAGCCAGCCTGGCCAACATGATGAAACCCTGTCTCTACCAAAAATACAAAAATTAGCCAGCCATGGTGGCGGGCACCTGTAATCCCAGCTACTCAGGAGGCTGAGGCAGGAGAGTCGCTTGAACCTGGGAGGTGGAGGTTGCAGTGAGCCAAGATAGTACCACTGCATTCCAGCCTGGGCGACAGAGTGAGACTCTGTTTCAAAAAAAGAAAAACAAACAAAAACAAAAACAAAAAAACCCCAAAATCAAAACCAAAAACACCCACAAAAACCATGTATATACCTTACATGTTAAAAAATGCCAATGGTCATCTGAGCCTTCGGCAAGCTGTACTCTTCTTGCCGGTGGAGGGTCTTGCCTCCATCAATGTTGATGGCTGCTGACTGATCATGGTGGTAGTTACAATCAGGGTGCCAACTGATCAGGGTGGTAGTTATGGAAGGTTGACATGGCTGTGGCAATTTCTTTTTTTTTTTGAGACAGGGTCTTGCTCTGTTGCCCAGGCTGGAGTGCAGTGGCACGATCTCAGCTCACTGTAACGTCCACCTCCTGGGTTCAAGCGATCCTCCTGCCTTAGCCTCCCTAGTAGCTGGGACTACAGGTGGGTGCCACCATGCCCAGCTACTTTTTGTACTTTTAGTAGAGATGGGGTTTCACCATGTTGGCCAGACTGGTCTCGAACTCCTGACCTGAGATGATCCGCCCACCTCGGCCTCCCAAAGTGCTGCAATTACAGGCGTGAGGCACCACACCCAGCCGCCATTTCTTAAAATAAGACAAAGATGCAGTTTGCCATATCAATGGACTCTTCCTTTCATGAAAGATTTCTTGGTAGCATGCGATGCTGTTAGATAGCATTTCACCCACAATAGAATGTCTTTCAAAACGAGTCAAGTATCTCAATACCTGCCACTGCTTTACCAACTAAGTTTATGTAATATTCTAAATCCTTTGTGGTCATTTCATTGACATTCATAGCATCTTCACCAGCAGTAGACTGCATATCAAGAAGTCACTTTCGTTGCTCATCCTTAAGAAGCAACTCCTCATCTCTTTAAGTTTTATTATGAGATGGCAGCAATTCAGTCACATCTTCAGGTTCTACTTCTAATTTTAGTTGTCCTGCTGCTTCTACCATATCTGCAGTTCCTTCCTCCACTGAGGTCTTGAATCCCTTCCTCAAAGTCATCTATGAGGGTTGAAATCAATTTCTTCCAAATTTCTGTTAATGTTGAAATTTTGATCTCTTCCCATGAATCATGCACGTTCTTAACGGCATTTGGAATGGTGAATCCTTTCCAGAAGGTTGTCAATGTACTTTGCCCAGATCCCTCAGATAAATTACTATCTATGGCAGCTGTAGTCTTATGAAATGCATTTCTTATATAATAAGACTTGAAAGTTGAAATTACTCCTTGATCCATGGGCAGCAGAATGGCTGTTCTGTTAGCAGGCATGAAAACAACATCATCTCCTTGAACATCTCCATCCAAGTTCTTGTGTAACCAGGTACTTTGTCAAGGAGCAGTAATATTTTGAAAGGAATCTTTTGTTTTTGAGCAGTAGATCTCAACAGTGGCTTAAAATAGTCAGTAAGCCATGCTGTAAACAGATGTGTTGTCATCCAGGCTTTGTGGTTTCATTTACAGGGCACAGGTAGAGTGGATTCAGCATAATTCTTAAGGACTCTAGAATTTTCAGAATGGTAAATAAGCATTGGCTTCAACTTCAACTCACCAGTTGCATTAGCCCCTAAGAGGAGAGTCAGCCTGTCCTTTGAAGCCTTCAAACCCGGCATTGACATCTCCTCTCTAGCATTCCTGAAAGTCCTAGACGGCATCTTCTTCCAATAGAAGGCTATTTCATCTACATGGAAAATCTGTCATTTAGTATAGCCACCTTCATCAATGATCTTAACTAGATCTTCTGGCTAACTTGCCACAGCTTCTAAATCAACAATTGCTGCTTCACCTTGCACTTTAATGCTATGGAAACAGCTTCTTTCTTTGAACCTCAGGAACCAACCTCTGCTACCTTCCACCTTTTCTTCTACAGTTTTGTCACTTCTCTCAGCCTTCATAGAATGGGAGTTAGGGTCTTGCTCTGGATTAGACTTTGGCTTAAGGGAATGTTGTAGCGGGTTGCATCTTCTATCCAGACCACTAAAACTTTCTCCAATCAGCAACAAGTCTATTTTGCTTTCTTATTATTTGTGTGTTCACTGGAGTAGCACTTTTAATAACGTTCAAGAACTCTTCCTTTGTTTCATAACTTGACTGACTGGCACAAGAGGCCTATCTCATCTTTTGACATGCCTCCCTCATGAAGCTTGATCATTTCTAGCTTTTGATTTAAAGCAAAAGATTTATGACTCTTCCTTTCACTTGAACACTTATAGGTCATTGTAGGGTTATTGACTAATCTAATTTCAACATTGTTGAGTCTCAGAGAATAGGAGGCCAAAGGAGGGGGTGAGAATGACTCGGTGGAGCAGTCAGTACACATATAACATTCATCAATTGAGTTCGCTGTCTTATAAGAGCATGATTTGTGGCACCTCAAAACAATTGCAATAGTAATATCAAAGATTGCTGGTCACAATAACAGATATAATAATAATGGAAAAGTCTGAAATACTGTGAGAATTACAAAAATGTGACATAGAGACATGAAGTGAGCACATTCTGTTGGAAAAATAGCACTGACAGACTTGCCTAGGCAACATGGCAAGACCCTGTCTCTATGTAATAAAAAAGGAAATCACTGATCACAGATCACCGTAACAGATATAATAACAACGAAAAAGTTGTCCAGGTGTGGTAGCTCACACCTGTAATCCCAGCACTTTGGGAGGCCGAGGTAGGCAGGCAGGCAGATCATTTGAGGACAGGAGTTCAAGATCAGCTTGGCCTGCATGGTGAAACCCATGTCTACTAAAAAAAAAAAAAAAAAAAAAAAAAAAAAAATTAGCTGGGAGTGGTGGTATGCACTTGTAATCCCAGCTACTTAGGAGGCTGAGACAGCAGATCACTTGAACCCGGGAGGCGGAGGTTGCAGTGAGCTGAAACTGTACCACCGGACTCCAACCTGGGAAACAGGGTGTGACTCCATCAAAAACAAAGAAAAAAGTCTGAAATATTGTGAGAATCCCAAAATGTGAACAGAGACATGAAGTAAGCACATGTTGTTGGACAAACAGC